AGAAGGCTTTGGGGAGACCTTCTTGCAGCCTTTCAATACTTAAAGGGGGCTTATAAGAAAGGTGGAGGGAGACTTTTTAGCAGGGCCTGTGGCAACAGGACAAGGGGTAATCGTTTTAAACTAAAAGAGGGTAGATTCAGACTAGATATAAGGAAGAAATTTTTTACGCTGAGGGTGGTGAAGCGCTGGAACAGGTTGCCCAGAGAGGTGGTGGATGCCCCATCCCTGGAAACATTCAAGGTCAGGTTGGCTGGGGCTCTGAGCAACCTGATCTGGTTGAAGATGTCCCTGCCCATGGCAGGGGGGTTGGACTGGATGACCTTTAAAGGTCCCTGCCAACCCAATCTATTCTATGATTCTATGTTTACTGAGATCTGTTCTGCAGGGAAAGGAAGAGGGAATGTGAATCTTCTCTGTCCTGAGGCCAGCTATTTCCTTGTTTTTCTGCCCTCAAGTCAGTAGAGTGCAACAGATTGGTATCCCCCTTCCACTACTGGAGATGGGTGCTAAGGTAGTGAGGCTGAGGCACGCAGGGCAAAGGTGAAGCAACCCAAACTTCTGGACTAACAAAGCAGGGTGTGCAGGGGTAAGCATCATTCTGAAGGTTGCACAAACCCAGGCGAAAGCCCAGCCATCTGCCCTGGCCTTACTGCAGCACAGGACTGCGTGTCAGCACTGGGTCACTCTTCCAGCAACAGCAGGAGCTCCTTGCTAGGCCGCTCCCTCGCATGTCAGGTCCTGGCCCCTGTGAGCACCTACCCACTGGAAAGAGGAAGGGGAGTGGGAAAGCAGGGCTGATCACAGGGGTGGCGTGCATAGAAGTCATAGTGCGAAGCAGGGGGATTACTGCTAACCTGGTCAAAGTTGCACTGAATTTCCCCCTTGCAAGGGCCTCAGCTTGTTATTGTAGGCACACACCTGCATGCTAGGTATGGCACCGACACGGTCGCTGGTCAGGAGTTGGGGAATGCCTGTGCTGGTTTGCAAGTAATCCCAAGGGAGGCCCATGGGCCTTCGCAAATATAAATTTGTTTTAGCTAGACTAGGCAAAATTGTTCATTTGCTAAGACTAGGAGGCTGATGACAGTGTGGCTGTAACCTTTGTTTACTATTGTTGTGTTGCTTCTAGCTTCTGGGATCTTGAAAGGTGTGGGTTTTTTCTTTTACAAAAAAAACCAACCTTCCAAGAAAACCCAACCCCCCCAAACTAATAGTCCACTGTGGCCCTGTTTGGCATGGAGGGAACCCACTGGAGGGTGACTCAGACTTTCCAAACTCTGAGCTCTGAAAAGGGAGAGCAGAGGAGATAGCAGTTTGGGCATGTATGTTTTTATCCCTTTACATGAATAATGGCAGCTCTTTACTCTGAGGTGTGGCTTTTTTCAAGGGGCCAGCAAAATTTCTGCTCAGGCATGTGACTCTCCTGCCTTTGCCTTCAGTAATCCATGCAGAAATCATTGTGTGCCTGCTAGCTCGGGATCCTAAGTAGGACTGGAGCATCATGTAAAAGGCAAGGCCAAGGTAGGCCTCCCCTCAGTGCAGAGCTGAAGTTGCAAACAGCTCGGTGGGTGATGAGGTACATTAGCGGGCGCAGACAGAGCCGAAAGAGGTGAGCTCTATGCAGCAGGTCCTGGCACAAGGCTATACCACTGTCTCACTGACTTTTGTTTGTCCCCCACCTACAGGCTATGCACTGGAGAAGAAAGTAGTCAAAAGCAAAGTGGGGGAAAAAGTCGGCCTGCCTTGTTGTCATGAAATTCCCAGCTCGGAAAGCCTACATAATTACCGGGTCTACTGGCAGAAGAACACCACGGAGGTAGTGCTTGCCTACGCAGAGGGGAGGATGATCTCCAAGCACGAGCGGTATGAGAACCGGACAGAGATGGACACCAGGAACCTCACCCTGTGGATCTCCCCCATGGAAATCCTGGACAATGGCCCTTACCAGTGTGTAGTTCAGCACCTCAGATTTCCACAGAACTCAGTTGTTGTGTGTGATGAGCCTGTCACCCTCTTTGTTACAGGTAGGTGGATTGCCTCCCGACACCTGAGGCTTTCTGGTGCCAACCTCTGGGGGTAAGAGACACTCCTCCAAGCTTTAGTCATAGAGTAGCAGATAGACTTTCATCAGGAAGCCTAAAAGAGTGCTGGAAGGTGTGTTAAGGCCCCTGTATTTCCATTCTAGCAGCCTCCCTCCTTACCTTTCCAAAGCTACCCCAGGTACAGAAAATTTGCCTATCCCACCATCCTCCCCTTGATGCCTCCCTCTTGGGCAAGGACCCCTCCCAGGACACCTCCCCAGGTACCACTGCTGGTGGGTGCCCTAGGCCCCCTCTGCCCCCTGCTGTCTTTTGGGCAAAGCAGAGACCAAGCCCTTGGTGCACAGGAAGCATCCAAGCCAAAAGAGGAATGGGGTGGCATTGTTTCTCTGTGGCCACAGCAGCATCCCAGCCCTGCATCCACCCCCTTGGGAGCTCAGGCTCTCTGGGGGGCTGGCCAGCTCGCCAGCTCCACTGCAGCTCCACAAACTAAGGCTGAACTCAGCTGGAGATTTGAGGCTTTTTACCTTAAAGAAACAACCCGAGTTCCTTTGCTCAAAACGAATCTGAGTCTTTTCTTGGAGGCTACAAAAAGTTCCGTTGACATTATTTTCCATTTCCACCACTGTTTTTGTGGCGGTTGGTTTCAACCAAAGGCAGAGATACTGGTAACATATATAAATATATACATACATTTGAATACCTTTAGCAGCAGAGTTTTCCAGGAATCTTCTAGATAAGCCAGTGAATGAGCATTCCCCACCTGGAATGAGATTCATCAGCAAAAAAACCCAAGCTTCTGAGGTTTGGCCATCGCCTGCCTGTCTGAGGGCACAGTGGACATATGTGCAAGGAGACAAATTTAGTGATCTTTCTGGGAACTGATATGAAAAAAGGGAAGTGCGCTGCCAGCACCCTCTCTAGCTGTGAGGGCTGAGGAGTTAACTGCATGAAAAATGTGAAACAGTGGATCTCTTTTCCTCCCTGCAAACACTCCAGATTCTTTCCAGTTTCTTTCCTTCCAGAAATCCCCTTGCTGTCTTAAACAGGCCAGTTGTAATAATAGTGGTAGACTACTTCTCCCTTTGGAAAAGTGGGATCAGTTATTGTGGGGATCAGGAAAGGGAAAGCTCCCCTTGCCCCTGCTGGAATCAGGCTACCCTGAGAGAGGCAGAAAGGTGTTACTCCCTGGTGACTGGTCAGGGAGCCTCAGTGAAGTTGGCTGGGATATTTGAAGGGACTTTCCAGACTGGATGTCAGTGTTGTATTGCTCAACAGGTAGTGGGCCTGGAAGGAAATCCGGGTCTCTCCTTGTCTGCCGCCGGCAGTGCAATGTTGAGCAAGTTTCTTTCACTAGTTACTCGGTAGCCTAGACCATGGGTTTGTGGTCAGCATAAGCCCTGGAAGACGCGCTACGACTGCAAGGCTGTCTGCCTTATCCCAGCAGTCACGTGGTCAAATGGTGAGTCAGGCAGGGAGCAATCACAGACAAAACCTTAGCTGCTCCAAAACGGGTCATTTTGCAGTGAGTTGAGCAACCTGCTGCAGCCCTCTGCCTGGCCTTGCCGTGGCTGGGGCTAGCACCTTAGGGGGTGTGCAGGCTACGGACCTACAGCTGGCAGGGGTGGGAGGGAGAATTTGATCCCTTTGGCAGCAGTGGTGTTGGTGTGACTTAGCCCACCAGGAAGCCACATGCTGAGTTTTTTTTTTTCTTACTGGTGCCTCTCTTGCTAAAGGTGTGGTCCCGTGGAGACTTTTCCAGTAGGAGAGTTGCCTTAAATAGTTCCTTTGCCACCCCTTGTCTCCTCCTTACCCTGGGCTGTTTATTGCAACCCATGGGCATCCTCAGTTGTACCAATGCAACTGTTTACAGTAATACGATGAACCAGATTGGCAAAGGGAAGCAGGCTAACAATGACACCACCTTTCTTCTCCTTCCTCACTCATATTAGTCCTCTCATCCATTTCACCATGCAGCCTCGCAAACACTTACAGCGATACATCTGACTGGGCGGGAAGGCATGGAACAAGCTGTGTGGGTGGGAAACCTCTGAAAACTGTCTTTGGCAAGGAGAAAAAAGTCCAGTGAGAACATGGTCTGAGAGGACCTGCATACTGCTACGCATTTTTGCAATGACTAGTATGACTGGGTCTTGCTCTCAGCTGGGCCTTCTGGAGAGTCTTTCATGCAGAAAATGTAATTCAGTCTCTTGCTGGCCATCCCAGCTGAGAAACCAACATGTGACTCTCCTCCTTTCCCAGCAGAGATAGACCCTCTGTGAGCTTCTGGCTGGGAAGGGACTAATGAGGGAGGGAAAAGGAAGTAGTCTACCATTGCCTGTAATACGAATTTTTATTCAGTCCTGTATTTTTTCTACCTGTTTTATGATTCCTTCTGTTGTTCCACGAACTGCTGTATGTAGAGAGACACAGCGGCATTGGAGAGGTGGGGTCATGAAGTCTGTGTACTGCCCAGGGAGGAGAAGCAGCAAAGGCCAAGGCCATATCCAGTCAAGGCTGTGAGGAGAACACTAAGGCACAAGAAAGGCCAAACAGATTATGATAGAGGAAGAATGCCCTGTGGGGGAGTCTTTGCTTTGACCATGGGTGATCAGGACTGCAGCCCTCGCTGTAATCTGACAGAATGGTAACTAAATCTTTCTTGCTTCAGCTGACTTCAGTAAGCCGAACATAACAGCAGAAGTATCCACTAATTCTTGTGAATCAACTGAGATGGTGGTAAGATGCTCTTCTCATGGAGGTTTCCCCAAACCCAAAATCTCTGGAGCCCTCAACAACGTGTCTGTGGTGTGGAATGCCAGCTGGGTGTCCGAGTCCAGCCTCAGCCCGTACAACGTCACTGGCAAACTGTGGCTCAATGTGACCAAAGACGTCAGTATCACTTGCTCCGTTGAACACAATGGCCTTCTCAAGTCCACCAGTTTGCTTCTGAGTAGGTTTTATTAATAGCTTGTGTTACAAAACTATTTTGTTGAATCTGCTGAGTTGCCTCTCTGAGAAAGTGGTAGATTTTGTGTATCTGTTCATGCAAGGATGACCCAATGATCCCGCCTGTGAGCTGCACACCAAAATATTTCAAAGGCTGTAAGACAGCAAGGGTGGGAGAGGAGAGTTACAACAGTTACTGACAAGCAGAAATGGCTCTGTCTTCCTGCTGCTCTACCATGAGTCACAGCTGGGCTGAGAAGGCAACTGGATCCTGTTGTGATCTGGTGACATCAGCTTCGGTGGCTCCCACAAGTTGGGGTTTTGCCACCATTCAGTGCCCCTCTGTACCAGCACGGTCTTGCTGCCAGTTGTGTGACACAGAGCTGGTATTCAAATGGAGGGACTTGAGAAATGTGTGTGCCTTAAAAGCCACAGGTTGCACTTAAAAAGAATTTCCTCATTTAACAAGCATGTTTGTTCCTGCTTCGGTGACAGAAACTGTCAGCTGGGGTCTAGACAAAATTCTGCTTTCATACACATTTAATATAGGGTTAACTCATACGGAAAAATTCCATCACTGTGTGTGGCTTAAAAGTGATAACATAATAGGTAAGTCCATGCTTTGAAAAGCTTGAGGCACAAGTGGAAACAGCATGAGGGAAGGCAGCACACTACAGTCCAGATGTTTTGCAGTAGAAGGGGATTTGCAAGAAAATTCTCAAAGCCAAAAGGATTTTTTTTTTTTAATGTTGTTACCAAAAAGGTATCCTGAAATGTCTCTGGGTCTGATGTTTTCACTGTAGAGATAAGGGCACCTTCAAGGGAAGCTAGAGAAGCGCTATTTTTCCTAGGGCATTGTACCTTATTCATCAAGGTACCTTATTCATCAATCTTACTAAAATCAAAGGTGCTCGTGAAGAGAGGTGCCATTCAGCTTCAGGATGAATGCCAGAAACTAGTGCTTTATGAATATTGGTTATTGCTGGACGTAGTGCATAATGTTCCTAGAGATGGTAATGGAAGAAGGTTATGAATATCATACTACATAGAAAAGGAGAGCAATGAAAACGTAATAATGGTAATACATACATACAATCTGTGTTGTCACACAGATTCTCAGAAGAAGGTGCAATCGGTGACAACAGCAGTCACAAAACCCCCACTTTTTGATTTTTAAGATGTGGAACCACCCCCATTTTGGTATGATGGAAATGGTCCTCCAAACAAGTCTTTCATGAACACGGAGTTCCAGACAGAATACAGCCTCTGGTAAATGTAGGAGGCAAACCCTACAGTGGAGGGGAAGATGGTACAGTGGATCAGGCTAGTGTCTTAGAAGTTGAATGATGCTTAATTGTGCCAGGTGCAGATGATGAAAATCTGAAGACCTATGAACATGCACCAAGTCTCTCCTTCCTGTTGAATTAGGGTTGTCCCGTACTGTACAAGAACGGCCTGTTATCTACTCTAATGTCCAAGTGGCAGAATGGTCATCTCCAGTGGTGAAAAGCCAAAGGCTCCAGATCCACTGAAACTGAACTCTGCCACAACACTCTTTTCCTGCCATGCAGAAAAAAGTCTATTCTAGTCTGTTTAATGTATCATTCTCTGTCACCTATGAATTCAGAGGGAAAAAAATCAGGCATAAATCTGGCGAAAACAGTAAGAAAAACTGCAGAGTACCTTTCAGAGTGGAAGTTTTCTAGATATGGACTTAGACTTTTCCACCAAGTCTAACCAGTTTGTTTGAAAACAGCTTATGTGTTTTTTAAATACTGCCTGTCTCAGTCCTGTTCTGGACAAAGACTCAGCATTTCAGATTCTGTGGATGTGTTAAAAATTTCAGCACATAGCAAATGTGGGGGAATGAAAGAAATTTAGGTGCCAGCTTTGTTTGTTTATTGAATAGGTAAATTTTCAGGCTGAATAGCTGAGTTAGAATTTGGCCAGAACCACCAAAATTTACGTACCTGCTCTTACATGAAAGTGCCAGTATGTTGTTGGGCCCTTTATTTATGTTTTATTTTTTCTGTCTCAGAAAAACCAAATACCTGCTTTGTCCCTACTGTGCCTCCATCTTATAATGTCATTACTGCTTCAAGTATCATCATTATCATCTTCCTTTTGGCTATCACCCTAGCAGCAAGATACCTCCCAAGGCATGGTAAGTGTAGCTCCTTTTTTCAAGAAACGGTCTCTTACTGCTTATGGAGTTTCTATGTAAAATACACATTTATAGAAACTATACTGACAACTAGATATTTTTGTACCTTCTTCTCATTTCCTTTTTTTTTTTTTTAATGCAGCATCTACTCTCACAAAATCAAAGTCCAGCTCAAGACTTTCCTACATTTTGTGTGCAGGCAGCACTAGGGTTCAGGTTTGAGAGTGAAGGGGTGATGAGGAGTTTTGACAGCAGATCAGAATATTTCCAAAATCAGGGGTATACAGAATTGAAGAGATTCACAAAGGTCCATTTTTATGTATTAAGATGCTTGAAGATGCCAAGAGTCTTGGTGATCATGACAGATACAGCTGAGCACTGACAGTTTCAAAATAGGATCTCTCTACACTCCCTACTTAGACAATCCCTCAGAAAAATCAGAGCGAAAGTTACAAAAATACGTAGTGCTAAGGCCGCAGAAAGGACTTAAGCATAGCAATGTCCCACTTTTAGGAGAACCCCAATCAGAAGAGATGGATTTGTCTTCTCTGTGTGGCCAAAAATGGCACAGGTGAGGTGCCCTGTCCCACCCTATGAAGTCTTCAGTAACTCCAGACATGTCTCCAGGAGTTTTTCAATGGCAACTAGCATCTCGGGGTTAGCTGGCAGCCGAATAATTTGTTGTTGTTGCTCAAAAAAATCTCATCTGTTAGCTGTTGCTCCTAATCATGTGTAAACTGACCTAGCCAGAAAGCCCCTGAAGATGTGGGTAGGCATCTGATGGATTTATAAAGGTAGCTAGGCATCCAGCCAGTACTGAAAGTCAACAGCATAGAATCATAGAATCATAAAGGTTGGAAAAGACCTCTAAGATCATCGAGTCCAACTGTCAACCCAACACCACCATGCCCACTAAGCCATGTCCCTAAGCACCTCATCTACACGTTAGATACCTCCAGGGATGGTGTCTCAACCACTTCCCTGGGCAGCCTGTTCCAATGTTTAACCACTCTTTCAGTAAAGACATTTTTCCTCACATCCAATCTAAACTTCCCCTGGCGCAACTTGAGGCCATTTGCTCTCATCCTATCACTAGTTTAACAGCAGCGTATGTCCTAGCCACACCCTGTTAGCCGCTTTGAAAAGCAGTCCTGGAGAAAGACAGCAGGCCTTGCAACACGTTATAAATATCACCCAATCAAGTTCTGTCAGGTCACTGGGGAAGTCAAGTCTGGAGACAAGAATCCCACACTTGAGAGCGCTCTATGTTCAGCCCACTTAAACCAGAAGCCACCAGTCTGAGCTTCTTAGCTCATCACGGTCACAGTGGTATCCCCTGTTGGAAAGAGGTTATTTGCTAGGCAGCAGGGACTTAGTTCACTCAGGGACACTTGTAAGTTTGTCATGCTTGTGTCATCTTCTACCTCTGTTTCAACTTCAGACAAGTTCACTCCCAAGTCAGAGGTGCGGAGGTAGCGTTACTATTTTTCTCTTCCCCTTGCCAACCACAACCCTTCAAAAACTAGTGTGACCACTGAGTCAGGCCGGGCTAATTCTCTTTGGTGTTTTATCACAAAGAAAGGAAGCTTCTGGAAGGCAGTGACTCTTGGCTACACCTGCCCACCTCCTCATTTTCCATGCATGTGCCCCTATGACACCAGTGCTGGTTCTCCCCTGCTGTTCCCTGGGGCTATGTCAATGGGAAAGCAGCAAGGAGGTTGAAACCAAGAAAATCACAGCTGATCACAGCCTGTGCTGTTAGCTATGTGGATAATGAACTTCGAATTATAGGAGAAAACGAACTGGAATTGGAAGATTTGGCTCTAAACAAGTATAGGCTGGAAATTAAAAGGTTCCTTACCATTAAATTAGTAAGATTCTGGAGCATTCTGAGAGAGCCTTTTATATAGAAACCAAATTGCTTTTAAAGTAGATGTAAAAAGCATACCAATGTGGTAGAATGTGATCACCTGCAACAGCATGGGACATGGCTGCATAAACTGGAATTTCCCTTTCAGTCCCGTTTTCCTAATATGCACAGGGAGTAGATTTGCTAAGTCAGGTGGTGCTATTTTGTACAGCCACTTTCCAGACCAGGCGTATACCATAAGAAACTGAAGCTAGAGCTTCAGTCCAACTTCCCATTTTCTACAGTTGTCACATTTCAGTGCTGCTGTGCATTGCCACCTGTCTGGGAAGGGAAATACCTGTCCTAAGAGTGCTTCCTGCTGGTGTTGCTACAGGTCACCTTTCAAGAGCTATTGTGGGAGCTCAGAATAGGTCTGAGGGTACCTCTGTTGTTCTGGCATATGGAAAGCTGAGTCAGGAGCTGCCTTGATGCTAAGAGTGGTTTTTGAGCTTAAAAAGCTATGCTTCAAAGGGCTGAAGTGTGGGAGGAAAGAATAGAAAGATAGAGCAAAACGGAAATAAGAGTTTTCTCAGATGCGTGATTGTGGTGGTGACCAAAACATGTAGATGCTTTGTTGAGGTTCACAACCCCCTACTTTGAGGAGCTCACAGCCCATCTTTGCAGTAATTTAAGAATGGAAACTCTCTAGATTTTTTTTTTTTTGGCTCTTCAATTAATTTGACACAATGCACCAAGATTAGAGGTCACTTAAAGAATAGCTTAGGATCCATGTTGTAAAATTTGTGCAAGTACAATTTGCTGTAATAGTACAGAGAGATTCAACTTGAATTATTAAAACAATTCAATTAATTGACACAATGCACCAAGATTAGAGGTCACTTAAAGAATAGCTTAGGATCCATGTTGTAAAATTTGTGCAAGTACAATTTGCTGTAATAGTACAGAGAGATTCAACTTGAATTATTAAAACAAAAGTCATTCATAGATGCTGAGATACTAAGGGGACCTGTTTAATCTGAACTCCTTTTAAAGCACTGAAAGAGTTGGCTGGTTGGTTCTAACATCGGCATTCTTTTACTTGCTTGGTAAACTGCATTTAGTAACATGTAACTTTTACCGCTATTCCCCTTCTGACCTTACCTTAGCATGTAGCAACCTGTCTTTGTGCCAGGTTGAGGTCCTAGCCCTGTGCTAGTGAGAGCTGTTTTATCCATATGATACTATATAGATAACACTTATATATAACAGAGCTTTCTATCAGATCAGACTATGGCTATGGGCCAGCCATATTCAGATGTACTGCAGGGATGAGTCCTACCAAGGAAAAATAGAAGTAACTAGACCTAAAAGATTTTTTTTTTCTTTAATTTCTTCTCTCCTTTCTTCCCACTCTCAGTTACACTTTACTTTGTTGAAGAAGACATTTGGATTCAGCACTTTTACATCTTCTGGAATTCCAAATACTAATGAGGGATCTTCTTTTTCAGTCTGTTCTCACTATTGTAAGCCTCAGGATTCAGTGGAAGAGGGTGTGAAAGAATGTATGAAGCCACCCATGAGCTCTAAAGGGACATCTGAAACATCATTTCTATGACCAGATCATGTTTGCAGGTAGTTTTCTTCACCATTCTTCTCTTGGCAAAACAGCTTCTCAAATACTATTAGATTCTCGTGCGATGTTAGCTCACATAACCATGTATGGCTCTTAATATGAGTGTGTGTTGTCCTTCAGGGTAAATAAAAGCGGTAGGGCCCTATTGCCAACTCAGACACGTGGTGTCTCCCGGTCAGGTAACTAGAGGAATGATGCTCATGTTGCTTGTGGGGCATTGCTTTGTTTGGGTTATTTCAAATTTCTAGAAATGAATCTAGTGAAAAATGTTAGAGGACCAAATTTCCTGGGCTGCCACACTGCTTTCTCCACAGAATGGGCCCTGCGTGGAGGGCGTGCAAGTTTTTGTGGTATTCATTTCCTTAATTAACATAAATTTTTAGGGACTAAATGGGGATGGAGAGAGAGAGAGATGAAAGAAAAGGAACATTTGACAACTTTGACTGTCAGTGTCTCCTCTGAACCTGTTTAAGGAAGCTGGTTAATATCGGAGAGGTGGGTTTGTAGCATGGTCATCCATCTGTCAGGATCTGCAGTGACATCCCCTGCCGCTGCCCTTGTGCTCATTTTATGGGCCTCCCAACTAAGAACTGGGCAGTCTTTTAGTTCCTGTCCTGTTGGACTCATTTGTGAGTAGCTCATCACTACTACGGGTCCCACGTGGCCTCATCCCCTAGAGGTTATTTCTGGCTGATGTCCTGTGAGCTATGTGCCTGATCTGATGCATAACATGGGAACGTCACTGATGACAGAAATGGAGGATTGACCAAATGGCGGTGAGGGAGGTGAACAACAAGATAACAACTCCAGCTTTCCCAGTAAGATTAGCAATGCCAGTCCACTTCTGAGATATCTCAGTTCCCTTCAGCAGCTGGAGGAATGGAGAAGGAAAAGTTTCCCCTCTAAGACTTGCCCAGGAAACACTCTTATTTTAAAAGGAGTTACTTTCAATAATGAGGTGTTGTGAAGGATGGGCTGGGGAAAAGCCTGGCTTACCAAGGTTTTATGACTACAAAGCATTATATTCATTTTGGCTTGAAAGCTCAGCTGTGTTCAGGGCTGTGTCCTCCAAAAAGACATTTTTCAAGTCAAGAGACTTAAGGAAAGATTAGCAGCTAACCATTCTTATTCGCATCATTATCCAGGTGACTGCATTTCCTGCTCTCACCACAGTGTGCTGAATTGCCAGAGTAATGCAGTGGAGTAACAGCTGTAGAGTCCTAGAAGTCATGAATTTGTCACACTGTGCATTGCAGTAATCTAAAAGCTTAACATTTTTGAAATGGAAAGGAGGGGAAACTATCGTTCAGGCCACTCGTCTCATTTCCAAACTTGACCACCCACTCATGTTTTCCTCTGGGGAAGGCCCTATCTGGAACAGATACTAGAGCATTGGTTAGCATGAATTCTGGGGGCTTTTGTGATGGGAATGGTGGGAGTTCACCTACTGAATAAATCCATTCTGCCGCATTCCTCTTTGGTTATAAAAGTTTGCCAGGCTTCTTCTGTAAGTGGCTGGCGTTTCCCAACTCCAGTGTCTGGAACGGCTGCTGTCTGTGGACTGGGATGAAAGCTGTGCTTCCTTAGTGGTTGACTGTCATCTCGTAACTGCGTGATACGCTGAGCCATGTCCTACTGCTGCTTAAATAGGGTAGCGCATTCATTAGTCATCCTCACTTCACAGAGGCATAGCACCTCTGTACGGTCCAAAGGTTTTCACAGTAAGTGTTGAGCCAGTCTGTAGCTCACTGTAGTGCCTGTCTTGAGCTGTCTAGCTCTGAAAAGCTCTGCCTTTACTGTAATAGGAGCCCTCTTGTGGAGGGCTATCGCAGGTGATCCCCATTTGTCTCGGCTCTGCAACATTCTGGCTTACATTTAGGATTAAGAAGGGGGGGAAAAATCAGTAAAATCTCTTCTTTGTGTCCTTCAGGTTTCTTATCCTGTGTATTCTTGCACTGCAGTCCCCACTGTTCGTTGTACAGCAATGCTTATTGCGTTGACCCTTTGGCTCTCTGAAAGGGGATGACAGCAGTAGAAAACTCTGCTCAAGAAGACTGACAACATAATCTTGTGTGAATGAATACAAAACCCCACTTATGCCACAGCAGCTGTGGGGTGGTCTCATTACAATGGGGTCGCTGGAATTCCAACTGGGAGGATCCTCCATGTTCCTGCAACAGGGCAGAAGAAGAGTGTCGCCAGCATCAACACACCAGTTCAGGAGTTTGGGATCCTCTGGCTTTGATGCTGCCTCTATGAAAATCAGGGGGCCTGCAGAGCCCTAGCAGGTAGCCCATGCCTACCTACCCCTTTAATAACACAGAGCTGGCCTTTGGGAGACCCCAGACCCCGATACACCATCTCAAGTCAGGCTGTGCCTCCATGTTGCGACTGGGAGCCACTAAAACTTCTTTTATATTCAGCCTCGCATGGGTATCTGCCAGTACTGTTCTTTGTGCTGGAGGACTCCGGATTTGGACTTGACCATTACAGATACGTGTCCCTTCTCCCCTAAAGAGGCAATAATGCACACACTTTTCATTAAAAAGCACCTTGAGGTGGGACTATATGCCTCATGCTTATTTTCAGTGCTATGAGACTTCTTAGGGAACGATACATACTGGCGCCACACCTAACGGCTAACTAATATTGCTTACCTACAGCAGTGGCTGAAGTTCTTGTAACCTTTCTCTCCTGAAAGGATGGCCTCACCAACCCAGGTACCAAGATACAGCTCCTCCATTAAATTACTCGGAGATACAGGAGCACATCTGACACAGTGCAGCCTGCTGGTGGTGGTGTGTGTGAGTGCACACCTTTGTGCATACACATGTACAAGCTTTTATATGCATTCCTTCCTACCCACACTTGTAAAGCCACATCTGAATTTCTGTAACACTCAGTGGTTATCTCACATGTATCTACTGTAATGAAATGTAACTCAGGGCCTTGCTTCATAAAGGTAGGTCTGCTTTTGTTTGTACATTTGCCTAGGAATACTTGTTAGGGTAGGCTCTCCAGGTTCGTGGGAGTCTCTCACAGCGACATAGGGATTTACTTTGCGTTGAATGTTGCTGCTTTCTGCCAGCGTTCTCTCTACCCAGCCAGGACTTGAAAGAAGTTCCCTACAGGATGCTAACATTGGATAGGACTCATCTGATCTGGGTGATATTCTTGCCTACTGTGTAGGAAAAAGTGGTTTCTCATTTTGAGGGGAAAAGAGGAAAAAGCTCCAACAAGCTTCCTAACCAACTCTGCATACTAACATAACTCAACCCTGCCCTGAGTTGGACAGGTTTGTTCTTCCCTTTTGCTCTGTCCCGCTGCAAGCTGTACCCATTCCCTTACCGCTCTATCTATGCGTGTAGTTAGCAGGGCAGACCAAAGTCTGAAAGCACCGTGCTGTCCTCTTTGGGGGATGTTTTGTTGCTCAAGTTGTTTGTCTTGCTAGGACACAGCAAAAAAATATTCCATCCATTTCACTTTTTTCTAGCAGGTACATATTGAGAGAGAAATTGCTGGAGGAAATAGGAGGACTAAAAGCAGTTTATAAATGACTGAGCTATGAGAGGCTAAGGGATCAAGTTGCTAGTAAAAAATAAGACACTGCTCTCTTTCTACTCCTGCAGTGTCATGCTGCCCCGTCAGCTTTTTTACTGCTTTCCCGTTGTATGAAATGAAATGGGAACTTCAGAACATTCTTATGGAGGGTTTTTTGACAGAGAAAAGATGAGGTGGGTGACAAGGAAACAATACTCTTTGCACTTGTGCATTCTGGTTGCAAGCAGAAGGTAGGTGACACAGAAAGCAGTGTTTCCAAAAGGCAGCCTGACCTTATTGCAGGACTTGGTGTATGGGCAATGGTGCCTCACATTTTTCAAGTTTCCTTTTCGCTCAGTCTATGCTTGTTCTTTCCAGCACAAACTACTAGCTTCTTGCAGGTGGACCGCCCTCTTTTTGTATCTACTTTGCTCATTTTCAGCATTGTGCTTCCCTCCCTGCTATAACCACAATGCATTTCCACCTTACCAACCACACCACAGCTCTGACAGTTGTACTGGCACGTTTTCCCTCTGACCATCCCATGCTCTACTTCTGCTCCTGACTGATGATCGCACAGCCTCCTGGAGAAGGGTTTGTCTTTTGCACTGTGCCAAACCTTTCTACATCACCAAAGACTCCTGTGACACTTTAAGTAACTCCTTCTAAAGGAAACAAAAAGTTTCACTGACAGGTATGTCTAGCATCAGTTTGTTTTTATATTCTTGATGGGCAGGTTATTTGGTTTATTTTTTCCATAAGCACTTATACTATGAATGATGTTTTCTATTGCCTTATGCTGTATTTGGTGAATTGCACACAAACGGTTTCTGTGAGACCTTTTCAGCTTAGTATCTGGGTCTTTGTACCAGGTGAGCTGCTCTGTTTATCACAGGTATTTTGTATATAACATTTTTTCCTGGGGTTCCTCCTTTAATTGTATTAAAAAATAAATGGTAAACTCAATGTCCTTTCCTCAGTAATAAAAGATGTCTGTTCTATGTGCTGGGAAGTAGTAGGGCCTTTCAATTATTCACATGAGCCCCAGCCACCATTTCACAGCTGCTAAAACCATACGCTGTGTAGCATCAAGGTAGGTGATGCAGCTGGTTGACAAAGCTGTACCAGGTACAGCTGGCAGCGAGACACAGCTCTGTTTGGTGTGCTCAACAGCAGAGACAAAATGGCACTCAGGTACCCAACTTGCAACTTCCACGTATCTCACGTCTGTCAACTTGTCAGGGATTAACTGAGTGGTGTAGCTATGGTGCTCGACACTCAGTTTGCAACAGGTCTTCCTCTTCCCTCCCAAAAAGGGAGGTTCTCTGCAAAAGCAAAATCCAGTGTAAAATATTCTCACTGTATCCCTGCTACGTGTGTTACCTATAACTTCAGGACCGGTAACTTCAGTGCTGTGCTTTTGCAGGGGCAGGGGTGTGAAGAATCCCTTACATTTGTATTCAAAAAATAAGCTCTGAACCAACTCTTCACTCCCTGTTCAGACAGTGACTTTGAATACAAGAAATGAGGAAGTGCAGGGAACTAAATTCAGCAGGAAATGGAGCAAAAAATGGCTGCGAAGCTTGAGTGTAGATGGAAGTCTCTGCTCCCCCTTGCTAATGTGCAGCATAAGGACATCTAGCAGCCCTTCCTTCCTTACACAGAGAGAAAATCCACACAACTGCTACACCTTGGCTCTGCCTACCCTCCCATGGAAGAATATCCCTGCATCAATGGTCAGACACAAGAAAATTAGTATTCTTTAGACATCACGTCAAATACCACTAAATAGGAATAGAGAAAGACTGAGCAATGGCAGAGCTAAACATCATCAGAACTGCTGTACAGATAAGAGTATGGGATATTGGGTGGGGATGTAACAGCAAAAAAAGAAGGGGGGGGGGGGAAACAACGCTGCTGTGTAACCACAATGGCAAAAAATGTGACTCAGAAAGGCCTGCTATTTTGTTTTTTTGAGGGGGCAAAGGACGGTAGCACTACTGTCACCAATGCATGCAGAGCTTTAAAACAGGAAGGGGGAGAGAGACATATCCATACCTCTGCTTATGCAGATCCTTCGCTTACCCATAGAAAAGGAAAATCAAAGCTGCTTGATGACAACCCCAAATCACTCGTATTTCTTCAATGGAAAAATGAACTACGCTGAGGTGTTTAAAAAATAAAATGCTCATTTCAGAAGTCAGAAAACACACCACCTTCTTGGAAGCAAGCTGTGCCAAAAATCTGCCTTGGGTGGGTGGAATGTGCTCTGTGGAATTGACTGTTCATATTTCAATCAACAGTAATCAGCTGTAACGGCAAAAAGCATTCAACCAGAACAGACTGACTACTTTTTTCTTGTGGGAAGGAGACCTGAACCCCCTGCCTGGATGTAATTCTCTTTAATAGGAGGAAAAAACTCTAACAAAGAAAGGGGACCAGAATTCTGACCTTCTGCTTTGTGGGAAATGGTGATGGGCCACCTAGCCCTTCCGGGTACAGACCATTATTACATTAACTTCAGCCCTACCCATAGGTAACAGCTATGACTTAACAGTTGATCTCTGGTACAAAATAATAAACAGACCTGGCACTCTCCTGGCTCTTGTCTTTGTAACTGCCCAGATAGAGGAATGTCTGACACCGCCACCAGACTTTATTGCTCGCTGGTGGGATCTTAGATAGAGCTCTTCTCATGGGATATCACTCAAGTATGTTTCTCTCATGCAAATACTGTACTAACATAAAGTACATACTGTACTAACATAAAGAGCTTACGGCCACAGTCACCACTGCTAGACAGCTTTATTGAGTGTCTTGAACCACATTTCCCCCAAAGGTAATCCTCTAATTTCCAATCTTCAAATGAAATTAGAGGCCTTTTTATTGTTGTTAAAACTGTCCACAGCGCCAGTTCTTCCACCATCACCACCAGAAACAAGTCATCCTTTCTGTGGCCCCCTCAGCCACACTTCTATTGAGGAACCCAAACTATGTCTTTTTCGGGGTATTTCCGTATCACTCCCAGCTCCTCCACCCTTTCTTAACATCGATTGCAAAATACCTCAAGTACTGCAGGAGCCAAGTGTGTTTTTCTGCAAAAAAGCCCAAAGAAACCACCGTCAGCAAAACAGCATTGGTCCCAGCCCAGCCAAGTCAAGCTGCGGGAGGGGGATGGCGAGAGGAGGAGAACCACTCGCTCTGGTGCTGCCTGTATTGCGCTTCGACAGCAAGTTCTTCAGGCGCTGTCTGAAGAGCAGCTTTCACCAGAGCATAATTAGCTTTTGGAATCAGGGTACCTTTAGCATCCAAACTATTCATAGGCTCCTTTACCTTGAATATTTCTACATCGCTGGTGGTTTGGACATTTTTCAGCAGTGAAATGGGTTCTAGACGAGGCTCTGGGGCTGCCCTCACCCTCTGCCAAACCTAGATGACACTTCCTAGTCTGCAGAATCTGCATTTCCACCTTCTCAGGTGGAACAGGTTTGGCCCTTCCAAGCTCTTGTGCAGTGATATGCATCCGTGAACAATGTTTTCAGCAAAATGCTTTTTCACAAGCGCACAGGATATAACTGCGTTCACAGAAGACTTCCATGACCCCTTGACTGAAGACTTTTATGAGCAGAATCAAAATACTTTGTAGCTGCTTACAACAGAGATCTGGCAAAGACTCAGTAGCTCCGAGACTCTCTTGCTGTCTCCGTCTCCGGTCCTCCCTGGGCGTTGCTTTCCATTTGGCCTAAGACTTCGGTCACACTGAGCCTGGATTGCCTAACGAGAGAAGAGAGAGTGCTAAGTAATTTTATGCCTGTTTCCTCCTGACAAAGGCATCACTGCAGAATCCCAACTTTTCAAAAGTTTCTTCTGGAACTGTCACTATTTGTGAGGTTTAGTAAGTCACGCAACCAGTGTCATAGCCTTTTCTCCCCAACGCTTCCAGCTATCCTTCTTCTTTCCTCTCTTTGACAGGGATGGAAAGAAGGCAGCAATGAAGGAAAAACCAGAGTTCTGGCCTCTCTCAATTTTGGTAAAGAAATACTAATGTGCTTGTCCTGCTTGTCTTCTCGGCCACTGCAAAAGTGAAAAACTGATGCAGAGCTACTGGGCCGGGGCGGGGCATGAATTTTGAACAAAATACCTTGTTACAAAATAAGCAGCAACATCTAAGGCTGGGAAGACTAAGTTGGCAGTTTTCAGACTGGTATGTGAAACACACCAAAAACCAAGAGCAGAAGAACCAAGGTTTAGAAAACCTAGTGTGTCATGGTTTCTTTAAATGATTGAACCACACAGACCTAGACACACTTCTAGCCAAAGACTCAAACAGGCAGAGCTGCTCCTTACCACTCTGCTAACTTCTGTTCATACAGCTCCCCGCGCTCACGATTTCTCTTCTCCTGCAAGGTCTCACCAGCAAGCTTCTGCATTATCATTAAGAGGCCTCCTGCAGGGATCCTAGAGAAGGAAGCAGAAAAGTCACAAGTCACCCAGGGGACACACAACAGTAATAACTTACCGGCATCGGCAAAAGGAGCATGCGGGGGCCAGCCACTAGATCAGTGGAGCATAATGTTCCCCAATACTCATATCACACCGCAGACTAAGGTACTCCTATTCTAGTGTCAGCCATCAAACACAGCCTGTCTTCAGCTGTGACTCACTGTAGCCCCTTCGATAACATATTTTGAATTTACTCATTGACAGGCACACGCAGGGCAAAGGGGTGGAAGGATTTAAGGTGCCCAAACAACCCCTGTAGATCACCTAACCCATAACTTAGACAGTCACACCCCTGCTTAGCTTCTGTCCAGCTCTGGAGGTACTTGTGTTTTCATTGGTAAAGCTCCCTAGCCTGCTTCCAGGCATGCCCGCAGCTGACACCATCCTGACGGTGCGAAGTAGCACATATAAAGCTCATCCTCTTGTCCAGGCAGGACCCCCAAATTCACTTGTGAGGATATTCACAAGTCAGTACTTTGAGAGGAAATTCCAGTTCTGCTTGAAAAGTCAGACCTCTCTTGAGTTAAGAGGTCATTGTCCTGATGGGCAGAGCCCCGGAGAGAGAACCATGGGTTCCTCCATGCCCCAGGGAGCTTTAGGAGATACACGACTGCAAGACATACACGAAGAGATGTGCCTGCCACCTTACAGCCTTGGGTTGTGCAGCCCAAGCACGCAGCTTCTTCCTCAGCATTTCCTAATGGCTGCTGCTCTACATTTTGGCTTTGATGGAGCTTATTTTGTAAAAAAATCATTTTTACACAAGATTCCTAACCTAGGGGCTGGCAGTTCCCAGGGTGCCCCCTTCTTCAAAAGGTGTCATCGTGACATCCCACACCCCTTGTGCACTGTCTGGATTCTGAGCTGCTACAGGAGCAGTTGCTGATGAAGCTGAGAAGGGAGCCCAGAAGCTGCCGTCTTACACTCCCGCCTTTACCCACAGACAACACAGTTTCTTAAAACAGATGTCCAGTGGTTCTGTGCACAACCATTGGGCTCATCAGTGACCACACCAAGGAAGGGGGACAGGAGACATGTCTATAACCCATCCTCATAATTTCCTATTTAACAGTAGTTAGCGTCTCCTCTAATAAGCAAATAGCAGCAAGTAAGATGCTCTATTGAGAGCACTGAGTTCTTATCGCTGAGGAAGCAGCAAAACACAAATCAAGAAAAAAAGAAGAAAAAAAAAACAGTTTAAAGGTTGGAAGAAAAGTCATCATCATGAGGTCCCAAGAGAGATACAGAAAATCCCTCAAGGCAAGAGAGGAAGGGAAGCTTCTGTAGCCCCACCTATGATTCAAGGCGTGGTGTGCGAGGCCACCGTCTAACAAACACCCTTAAAGAGTGGCTGTGTCTCGATCACTCACTGGCAGCAGTCGCAACTCACCCAAACGCTGTTCCGAACACGAAGCCGCCTGCCAGTCCCTGCAGGCCCAAGTGCATTCTGAAAAGGGCTCCTGTGAAGGCTAAAAAAACCACAAACCCACTGAAACCACAAACAGCCCCCCACCAGCCATCACATACAGATGGAGGGAGCTGCTTTTGCTGCATTTCTCCTCTCCGTGAGCTGACATCTACTTTTAACAGAGCAGAAACCAGGCGCCGTGGCCAGCGGGAGGGACCCTCACCATACAGTCACCATGGTCTCTGCACTAAAACGTTGCACAAAGCTCCTTCTGCTTCAGAAAAACTCCCCAAGAAATGCTAAGAAGTATCTAAGAAAATATAACCGAGCTCTCTTCAGGCTGGAGCATGATTCCCCTCCCCCCCCCCCCCTCGCCCACCAGTAACAGGTTATAATAGTAGCTGCCATGTAAGGCAGAAAAGATCAGTAAAACACGTATCCAACTGCAAGGGCAATAAAGCCTGTAAAACTGCACAAGCAGATCACTTACCCGGAGCCCTGTTGCCAAAAGCGGACATGCAAAACTTAGCATGAAAAGGGTAGTTTATAAACAGCGCACTGAACTGTTATAAAGAGCGGAAATAAGAAATGCTTTCCCTGCTAAATAGGTGGTTATGAGAGCAGGTTATGCACCAAGTGTTGCCTTTACCCTACACAAGCATTTTTCACCCAAAAAACTCCAGCAAGTATTTTGAAGACGAACGGATAACCGCAAAACTCCCCAATGGTTTCAGAAGTGCATCGATATCTCTCCGTTACAAATAAAGGCACGCAGCAGTTAAATAACAGAGCAAAGTCACAATGGCAGTCGGTAGAACAGGAAACAAAACCCAGGAGCACAGAAGCTAGAGACCTGCTCAAATCCAAGAGATACGGATTTCTGCTTATGCCTTTCCGTTTATGACCCTTGCTCATAAAGAGAAAAGTACACAAGGTTATAGCAGTCTTACCTCCTGCCGAAGCAAAATTACTGATGGTGGTTTTGTTGCGGTACACAGTCAGACCAGTGCTCACCGTGCTGCAAAGGTAAGGCACAGAAGAAGTCAGCAGTTGCACATGGAAGAAGACAGGTAGCAAAACATAGCCTGAAATAAAGCTGGATTTCATTAAGCCAGCCCTCAGGCTGCCTCTAACTGCCTTGCTGCCCATCTGTCCAGAGCGCACAGGCGCCAGCCACAAGCGCCTTGGTTTCTTGTGACTTTACTGCAGGCAGCTGCACAGCCGGAGGCCGGGGAATACCAGGATTCCCGGCCTGGATCTGGGATATTCTTTCTTTTTCTTTTTAATCGAAGATTTTTTTTCCCATCATATATTCAAGGATAAAAGGAACTGAGCAATGAAAAGGTCCTCTCGGTCGGTCAGTCCTGACGTAGCACCTTTACCCCCAGAAGCTGAACCCGTGTGTCAGTTAAGATCTTGCCTGACGTAGACAGTCCCACGCCTAGAGCTAAGTCACACTCATGATGTCAGCAGGGTCACCTACTCTTGCAGCATGAGATTCCCTGCCAGGGCAGGTACACCATCTCCTCCAAAAACATGTTAAGCCCCTCTGTTCTCAGCTCAGCAGCCACATCCTCCCCAGCACTTTAGCGAGCCTCCTGCATGACATCTACAAGCCAACAGCCATCTTCCTCTCCTTCCCAACGCTGTAACGTCACCCTAGCCTTTGTGCAAGGTAAAACTACACAATTTGGTTTTAAACTGCGAAACTCAAAATTCGCGCAACCGCAGGACGAAATCTTCAACTTGGACTTTACAGAAACAATTAATGCTGAGCAGCAAATATCTTCTTTCAAAGCCTTTTACAAAGGGGTGGTGAAAAAGGGCGATGATCTGACTGCAGGGGAGACATCTGGTGGAAGATGACGAGGTTACACGTCAAGCCCAGGAAAATCTAAAGAAATCAAACGCTCCAGGAGAGAAAGCAAACGGTACGCTGACTAAACCTGAGAAGAGACACTAAACCAAAAGGAGCCAAAGAAACCAAGAGAGATCGAGGAAGGAATTCAGAAAGGAACAAAAAAATTGGGGAGACGGAAATATAAAATAATGCTAGTCAATACTGCTGGGATCTTAAAAGCAGAAGGGGAATTTAAACAGAACGCACCTGCAGATATAGTCAAGGCAGCTTTAGGACTACACATAAATTCACCATTTTGAACGTCAGGGAAGGTTAAAAAGGCATTATTCGGAAGAGCGTGCTTAGTTTGATGCTATATTGTCAGAAATACACTGACGCATCTGGGGGAGAAAATCAGGGAAGTGGAACTCTGCGTTGGTTGTGGGTGTAGGAAAAAATTGAAGGCCTAAAGAGGTACATACAACTGGTAGGACTGATGTTCAGCAACTGCTTAATAACAAGACAATCATCTGCAAGCATTTGAGGACAAGAACACATAATTGTGAGTAATGCTGGTGTATACAAACTAGGAGTAATGACACATAACCAAAAGGAGAAAAATTAGCGTGGGATGGAAGGCTCTTCCAGAAACAGCCAACACACTCGTAACGCTCTCCCAGAGAAAAACACAAAAAAAAGAGATGAAGCAAAAGCGGAAAGAAGCCGTCAAGCGCAGGGAAGAACAATATTCAAGTCAATAACAGCATGGATTAGATGTAAGGAACAGGGCTTTTCCAGTTTTAGTTTTTGTGTTGGTTCATTAGAAGATCTGAACTCTGGGATAACTATAAAACGTTAAACCCTCTTCATGTTCACGCCTTATCAGTCAGGCTCGCTGTTAACACAACACTTTGAGCCTCAATCAATCACCAGCAGTCTCTCAAGGAGCGGCGAGCACCGCCGGCACGAAGGGCTCCTGGCCACTAGTGCTTCAGCATAAGCCAGCTCTTCTCCTACTGCCATCGGGAAACGCTTACTTGAATATCGTCACAAAAGCGGCTACTCTCCAGCTCCAGCGCCAGCCGTAGCGGATGAAACTCCTGAGACCAGCACGATGCGCGGATTGCTAGGGGGAGAGAGAAGACAGGTTACAGATCACAGCCCTGCCCCTCCTCGCCAGCACCACCAGCCCGCTGCGATCTGGGGTATTTGCGACGGGTCGTGGGACTGATGTCACCTGGGAAGGATACCCTGACCCTTGGGGATCAAGTCGGTCATCTTCAGAGGAAAAGCCGCTCACGTTTACCCCAGCCACCAACAGGAAAACCAAGAATTAATTCCAGTTTGTAACGAACGTCAACTGGTCTTTCTAATCCTGGTGCTGAAACACATCCGGGGGGGCCAAGGAGAGCTTTCTGAGGACAGTACAGGAGAGTAGCAGAGGAGAAGAAAGGGGGGACAACCAGAAACTACTTCTTCGTTATTATGAGTTCATAAGTATTAATAACCATTAATAAATAACCATAATAAGTAAATAATAACCACCTACTTAAAATGTTAAGAGACCATCAAGCCCTGCAGTTTAGCACTGGCGCTTAAGAGTTTGGCAATAAGCGGCTTTTAAAAAGATGTGATAAACAGAAGGTTCATAAAAATTAAAAATATTCCAGTTAATACCACGAAAGAAAATAAATTCTCTCTCCCAGTGCCTGTGGTGTAAGTGCTTAGCCCGGGTGCAGATACAGAAGAAGTCAGAAGGACAGAGCGAAGCCAGGCACAGATCGATACTGGGCAGGCGGCTACATCGGGGCCAAATCTAAATAGTGAATGCTGTAAAATCAGGCAGATTTTTAAAGGGTTTTTTTTCCCATTGATCCAGGTAACCAACACTTTAATCGAAGAACAAACTGCCAGTGGCAGTTATAAAATCTCACAAATGTTCTTTGTTGTGATAAGCTAAAAGAATTTTAAACGGTCTTAAAATAACTCGCATGAATAAGGGGACACCACCAGTCTGACACTGTGGAGCGAAGTCTCTCGCCAACACTAAAATCTAAAAGCCGAAAGACTTTTCGAGACATACTGACCGATGAGGCGTGTAACGCCCACTCAGAGCTGCCCGTTAGGCACCTCGCTGAAACAAGGTCATTCGGTCTCCCAGGGACTCTTGTGCCACCACGAACCGCAGGCTCCAACGGCAGCTTCTTCCGCAACCGGAGCCTTTCCAAGGCGCCTCGCCCCGCATGCCGGCGGAGGCTCTGGGGAGGCTTCCCCAGGAGGCCCGGGGACGCTTCGGTCCCTGGAGCGGCGGGCGATGCCCAGCGCTCCCCCGACAGGAACCCCGGCCGCTCCCCCCGGGTAACCCCCCCTACACAGCGGGTCTCCTGGCTTCGCGGGTGGGCTCTGCCGGGCCG